AGGAGAAGTAGGACTGCAGTGCTAGACTGCACATGGAGAGACTGCAGGTGGACGTGACCATGCAGCGATAACTGCAAGAAGATAGATGTCCACTGATGCTTGGCTGCAAGGAAGCAAACAACTCGCTACCAGAGAGGGGCAGAGAGTGTGGATGCACTTGGTGCAGGTGAGGGTCCTGCAAGCTCTTACCTTGTCATAGGTCTGGTAGTGCTCTTTGACAAACTTCTGCATGAAACGGAGGAAGGACTTGTTGTAATCTATGAATAAGCTCATGGAGCGGCTGGGAAGATACTGGAGCAGGGGGATGAAGTCTGCAGGGTTGCCAGAAGCAGCCACAGCAGCAAACCGGTCACTGGTGTTCACTATATTGAGCAGCTCCTGGTCGTTGTGGTCGTGCCGCTTGCCAAAGCACATGGCGCAGATGACGTTGGCCACGGACACCACCAGGTACCGGTAGGGGTCAAAGCTCTTCTCCTCCTCCATGAGCTGCAGGAACTTGGTGACCAGGTACTCGGCCTCCTTGGAGACGTGCTCCTCCAGGAGGCAGCAGGATGAGGCCGTGGGGCTGGGGGTGATGGAGAAGGTCTTGAGGGCGTTCTGGGCCAGCTTCCTGCGGGCTTTCCACACCTCCCCGGTGTCGGGGCTGAAGGTCAGGCTCTGCCCATCCGCAACGTAGCGGAAGCTGTGGAGGTCGGGGCGGCCCAAGAAGTCTTCTGCTTGCTTCACCAGGGCTTGCTTGATGGTGTCCAGCCCGCTCAGCACCAGCACGGGCCGGGTGCCGATCCTCACCTCCATCACGTCCCCATAGCGCCGGCTCAGCCGGGTCAGCGCCAAGTGCGGGTCCTTCCTCAGCTCCAGCACATTGCCGAGGATGGGGAAGCCCCTGGGGCCGGGGGGGCTCTTCAGCCCCTTGGGCACGCGCTGCTGGAGGGACTGGATGAGCAGGAACACCAGGCAGAACACGGCACCAGCCAGGAGGAGCTCGGTGGCTGAGATAACGCCTTGGCTTCCCACCAGAGACATCGCTGCCTTCGTTGCTGCTGGCCTGCAGGAACTCTAAAGGAGTGAAGGGTTGTAAAGAGCCAGGATCAGCAAGAGGTTGAGTCCTGCGAATGCTCCTGATGCTGAGAAAGGGCATCAAGTGCCCTCAGACAGTTCAGGGTGATGGAGCTGGACTTAGGGGTTTTCAAGACGTAAAAGCTGGAGACCTCTAAAGACTCCAAACACACCCATTGCTTAAGGGGGACCTCAGCCCCCCAGAGCCTGTAACAGCACTCCTTTCCCTGCAGAAGATGGGTACTCAAAGCCACACACATGCACACATTGTCTCCTACCTGCAGGTCCTTGCGATAGACAGGGTTTTGCTGCCTGTAGCTCCCAGCAAAGAGAGGCAGAGGGTATCTGCTTGTCCTGGGGAGCAGAGGGGATCCTCTCCTGCTGCCTGGACCTTCTTCTCCTGCTATCTGGAAGGCCATGGCTTTATATGTGCTCCCTGCACTTCTTATCTCTTTGGGCTCACTGGTGAATAGCTACCTATTAACGAACTGGAACAAGCCCATCTGGGGCCAGCCCAAGAACCAGGGAAGACCCTTCCTCAGCTCCAGTGGGGTTTGGGGGATGAATGATGACTTCTCCTCCTGCCCAGGGCACGTGCCTGCCCTGGAGCTCAGAATGAGAGGCAGAAGTGGGTTCCTGAGGACAGGGAGGCAGAAACGGGGGGTCCCTAAGTGCTGCCCTGGGGATGATGAAGGATGCTCTCCCATCATCACTGCCTGGTGGGATGTGCGTGCCAAAGCCCTTTCCCAGGCTGACCAGGCTGGTCCCAGCGCACAGAGAGCGCTGTCAGCTCCGTGGCCACTCTGGAGATGCTGGCAGCAGTGAGGGGATGTGTTTGCAGCAGGGCACCCGCAGCCACAGCCCCCTGCATCCCTGGGGTACCAGCAGGTGGTCGCGGTGCCCTGGCACCGGTGGTGGCAGGACCTCGTGGCCGGCGGCAGAGCCAGGCTCAGGTTAACCATTGCCCAGGTTCGCGTGAGAAGGCGGCTGGCTCGCTTCCCCCGGCTCCTCCGTGGCAAACAGCAGAGGAGTGGCGGGGCAGAGGGGAGGAGGTGAGCCCCACAGATAGGAGAGGTGCATGGGGCAGCGGGGGCAAGGCTGGGGCAGCTCATCCTTCCCCAAACCCAGCCGGAGAGGTGGGAGCCGCTGGGGCTGCTGGTGGAGCTGGGGAGGATCAAGGCTTTGGGATGGCAGCCGGGATGAGCAGGAACGAGCTGAGCTTTGGGGTTCAGCTCATCCAGTTTCATTCCATCTTTGGATGTGGGAATTTGGCGCAGGTAAAAGCTGAGCTAATATTTAATAAAGGCTTTCAACATCTGCTCTAATCAGGCTCATTAACAGCAGTGACGCCGTTCATTAGTGTTTGGCAAGAACAGTTACAAAACCCTGGCTGCTAAGATCCACTCTGCTCAGTGCCAGGCACCTCGCACCAGCGTGTGTGTGCGTGCAAGGACAGACACGGGAGCAAGAGGATCCTGGTGTACACCCTGTGTGCACGCGTGGCAGTGTGTGTGAACGTGGGTGCAAGAGCATCAACGTGCTGTGTGTCTGTACATGGGCTATGTGCGTGTGTATAGTGTCTGTGTGCATGTCTAGTGTGACCGTGTGCATGGGTAGAGTGCTTGTGTGCGTGTCTAGGGTGTCTGTGTGCACGTATAATGTGTCCGTATGCATGTATAGCATGTCTGTATGCATGTCTAGTGTGTCTCTGTACATGGATAGGGTGTCCATGTGTATGCCTAGTGTGTCTGTGTTTATGTATAGAGTGCTTGTGTGCATGTATAATGTGTCTGTGTGCATGTATAGCATGCCTGTGTGCATGTATAGCATGCCTGTGTGCATGTATAATGTGCCTGTGTGCATGTATAATGTCTGTGTGCATGTATAGCGTGTCTGTGTGCATGTATAATGTGTCTGTGTGCATGTATAGCATGCCTGTGTGCATGTATAATGTGTCTGTGTGCATGTATGGGGTGTTTGTTTGCATGTCTAGTGTGTCTGTGTATGTATAGAGTGCTTGTATACATGTATAGTGTGCCTGTGTGCACGTATAGGTTGTCCATGTGCATGTACAGTGTCTGTGTGCACGTATAGTGTGTCTGTTTGTATGTCTAGTGTGTCTGTGTGCATGTATAGAGTGCTTGTGTGCATGTATAACGTGTCTGTGTGCATGTATAATGTGTCTGTGTGCATGTATAGAGTGCTTGTGTGCATGTATAATGTGTCTGTGTGCATGTATAGGTTGTCCATATGCATGCATAGAGTGTCTGTGTGCATAAAGGAGTGTTAAAATGGGCATGAGTGCATTGGTATATATGCTACATGCACATGGCACATACACATGGCGCTGTATGTGCTATGTGTATGTATAGTCTGCATGTATAGATGCACCTATAGATATGTAGGGTGAGTGCACGCACAGCCGGAGGTACGTGGCTGCACTGGGAGCTGCAGGTGTGGGTGCCACAGTGAAGGCACAGGGATACCTCTGCATGGGGTTTATGGGCACAGCCACGTGTCCTGCCCGCTCCATGTGTCCCAAGCAGCCCTTCTCCAGAGACGTGGGTAAAGACAGTGCAGTCTGTCCCTTGGGGAAGGACAGCTCTGCTTGGGACACATCAGAGCGGGCTGGGGCACCGCTCAGTGTCCCCTGGACCCCAAAGGGGACGTTTGTGGTGGCACAACTGAGACCCTCAGCTTTGCACAGTGGGAAACTGCCTTCTCGAGGGATGTCCCTGTGCCACCAAGGGGGACAGAAGTGGCATAGGGGGCTGCCGCCACCAGCATCCCATGGCAGAGGGGATACAGCCCAGTGTGCCCAGTGCCCCCAGTTCTGGGGACCCCCCACCCCAGCCAGCCGGGGGGGGGCTGATCCCGAGCTGCTCCGGCGCCACCTTGACCCCGGGCCAGGCTCCTGGACGTGAGGCCACCGCCCTGGTCCTTTAAAAGCCATTTCCCCCCCCACCCGGTCATAGCGTGACTGCAGTGACCCTCCCGGGTCAGTCCGGAGCCCCTTCGCACGCGATGTCCCCAGTGTCACCCTCCCGGACCCCCCCCCCCCCCACCCCCGCGGGGCGGGACCCCACGGCCCCTGTCCCATCCCGCTGTGGCTGGGCTGGGGATAGGGGGGGTTGAGGGTGGAAGGGATGAGATTCGGGCTACGTCTGGTCCCGCTTGCCCTCCTTGAAGGACAGGTCTTGACCAGTCGCCCAATAGGGATTGGGGATGGGGGCGGGACTGGAGGTGCAAGCCCTACCTGAGACCCGCTGTGGTCCCCGAGCATCCCCCCGACGTGATCCGCCTGCCCCATCGCGGCTGCCCTGTGCCCAGGGGACAGGAGGTGACGGAGGGCACGGCCGCTTCGCACGCGAACTTGGACAATCTTTAACTGGGCCGGGGCAGCGAGGGCCGTGACCCCCGGGGCTGCCCCACCGCCCCCCTTGCCCTACAGCACCGGGCCAACAGAGCGGCCCCGCACCGGCGGGGGGACCCGGTGGTGCCCCGTAGCCCGGGTTCTTCCCCCTCTGCTCCCACGGGGAGCACCGTCGGAGCCACCGGCAGCCCCCGCCGACGGGGAGGACCGCTAAAGCACTGCGGGGAGGGGGGGGCGAGCGTGGTCCGCGCTCATCCGTGCGTGTTCCCGGGGCTCCTTTGGGATGGCACCGGGGGGGGGGATGCCCTGCTCCTGCCCCGCACTGCGGACACCGGCGGTGCTTTCCCACGCTCCCAGCTCCGGACGCCGGAGACATCCCGGGGCTGCGGGCACCGGCGGCGAGGAGGGGGAACGGAGCCGGGGCTGCGGGGAGGGGGAAAGAGGGGCTCGGTGGAGCCGGGGCGCAGCCCGGGGTTGAGGGAGAGGGGAACCGGGGCTCGGGACCGGCGCCTTTAAGATCCTGCCGGTAGCGTGACTGGAGTGACCGGGGCGGCGCGGGTTGCCCAAACATCCCGCCCGCTTCGCACGCGATGCCCGCCCCGGTCTGGAACCCACGGGCGGCACCGGCACCCCCCCCTGCCCCGACGGGACCCCCCCTTCCTCCTCCCGCCGCCCCGCAGCCTCCCCACGGGGACAGGCAGGGAACGGGGCTCCCGCACCCCAACCCGTGTGAGAGCGGGTGCGGGGGGGTGCGGGATCTCCGCCGGGGGGGGGGGGGGGTCGGGTCCGGGTTAGGTGTTTGGGAGTTGGGACACACGTCAGCTTTGATTAGGCTTCGGTCATGTGACGGGAGGTGTCCGGGCCAATCAGGGTGAGCAGAGATGCATATAAAGCAGGAGCGAAGAGGAGTTGGGGGGTACCTGCCGGGAGGATCGGGCCCCAAAGCGCTCCACAGGTGAGTACCCCCGGGATGGACGGGTGCGGGGGGCCCTTCCAGGGCACCCCCGAGGGATGGGCAGCTGGGGGTGCTCTGCTTTGGGTGTCCCCCAACTCTGGCTCCCCAGATCTCCTGTGGCATCCTTCCTGCAGCTGCTGGAGGGTGCTTCCTTGGGGGTTCTGAGGGTAATCCTTGCCCCAAAGCCCCTCTCACCATGGGGCAGCCATGATCTGCATCCATGCGTTGGGGTCCCAGCAGCCCCCACCTTCCTCACCCCGTGGGACCTTGGTGTCCCTTAGGGTCTGTACCAGCCTGCCCAACCCAAGGGGAGGGCGGATTTCAGTTCCAACCTCTTCCTACCCCTGGCCCGGCATTTCCTGAGGGATTTGTGATGGAGCAGGGAGCTGGGTGCACACAGCCTCCAGCCCCACTCTGCAGCCATGGCTGGCTTTCATGGCCATCCACATCTGAGGGAGGTTCATGGCAATGCTGTGTTTTGGTGATAGCAGAGGCTTGGAATGAGCAACCGGGAGGATTCAGCTTTCCCACACTCAAGCACAGGAACGCACTCAAGCACTCTGGAGCAGGCTCTGCAGTAGAAAGGAGGTGCTGTAGTTGAGAGAGCACCTTTCCTTCCCTGCACACAGAGAAAAAGCTGTGGGACCCATTCCTTCCACTCCTACCTAGCAAAATATGGCTTCTAAGTGCAAGCAGCTTCCTAAAGTGCACAAAACTGATGCAGCTCTGGATCAGAAGCTAAGCCAGAGCTAAGTGCTGCACAGGTGCCTCAGACTGGAGGTGCTCCATAGTCTTCCTAATGCCTCTTTGGTTCATTATCAAGGTTCCTGCACGCTGGCAGCGATGTCTCTGGTGGGAAGCCAAGGCGTTATCTCAGCCACCGAGCTCCTCCTGGCTGGTGCCGTGTTCTGCCTGGTGTTCCTGCTCATCCAGTCCCTCTGGCAGCGCGTGCCCAAGGGGCTGAAGAGCCCCCCCGGTCCCAGGGGCTTCCCCATCCTCGGCAACGTGCTGGAGCTGAGGAAGGACCCGCACTTGGCGCTGACCCGGCTGAGCCGGCGCTATGGGGACGTGATGGAGGTGAGGATCGGCACCCGGCCCGTGCTGGTGCTGAGCGGGCTGGACACCATCAAGCAAGCCCTGGTGAAGCAAGCAGAAGACTTCTTGGGCCGCCCCGACCTCCACAGCTTCCGCTACGTTGCGGATGGGCAGAGCCTGACCTTCAGCCCCGACACCGGGGAGGTGTGGAAAGCCCGCAGGAAGCTGGCCCAGAACGCCCTCAAGACCTTCTCCATCACCCCCAGCCCCACGGCCTCATCCTGCTGCCTCCTGGAGGAGCACGTCTCCAAGGAGGCCGAGTACCTGGTCACCAAGTTCCTGCAGCTCATGGAGGAGGAGAAGAGCTTCGACCCCTACTGGTACCTGGTGGTGTCCGTGGCCAACGTCATCTGCGCCATGTGCTTTGGCAAGCGGCACGACCACAACGACCAGGAGCTGCTCAATATAGTGAACCTCAACAATGAGTTTGGAGATGTGGCTGCTTCTGGCAACCCTGCAGACTTCATCCCCCTGCTCCAGTATCTTCCCAGCCGCTCCATGAAGCTCTTCAAGGACATCAACAGGCGTTTTGACTCCTTTGTGCGTAAGATTGTCCAGGAGCATTACACCAGCTTTGATAAGGTAAGAGCTCGGATGCTCCTGGATGCAGGTAGAGGTGCCTACAAGTGTCAGAGGTCTTTGGGGCTCTCCAGTCTGAGTTAATCCCCCAGGGTCTGGCCCTTGCTGGGAGAGGTTTCCCCAGCCCTTGGTGTCCATGGTATCCCTGACTCAGCTTCTCTCCCCCAGGATCACATTCGGGACATCACGGACTCACTGATTGAGCACTGCCAGGAGAAGAGTGCAGGGGGGGATGCCCCTGTCCCGCTCTCCAACAAGAAGATCATTGGCATCGTCTATGACCTCTTTGGGGCAGGTGAGAACAACTCGGAGGGTAAAGCCTTGCTGTTGGGATGCTGAGTGTAGGAGCTGGAGCTCTTGGGGTGAGACCTTGGCCATGCTTGGGTGTTTGGAGCTGTTCCTGGGCTCTCAGGTGCCCCTTGAACAGTGACCAGAGCAGAGGCTGCTGGGGAACCTGCTCCGAGGCAAACATCTGGAGCACTGGGATCTGTAAATACCCACTGCCTGCCCTCTTTTGGTAGCTCAATGCCTTCTCCATGTCCATCCAGGCTTTGACACTGTGACAACTGCTTTATCCTGGAGCCTCATGTATGTCGCCTTGTACCCCAATATCCAGAAGAGGATCCAGGAAGAGCTGGGTGAGTCCAGGACCCTGCTTCCCCTGGAGCCAAAACCTCCCTGCCCAAGGTTGATCCCAACCTGCTCCCTTCTCTCAACCTCCCGCAGACCAGGCCATCGGCCGGGAGCGCAGACCGAGGCTGTCGGACCGGGGCGCGCTGCCCTACACAGAAGCCTTCATCCTGGAGATGTTCAGGCACTCCTCCTTCGTGCCCTTCACCATCCCGCACAGGTGAGGGCTGCAGTGCCTGGCATCCTATTTGGGGTTTTCTGTGGAGCGGTTTTCTGGGGGGTGCTCTTGAGGCAGGTAATTGCCTGGGAATCCATCCCTGCTGTGAGGAAATGTTCCAGTGCACACATTGGATGAGTCCTGTCAAAGCTCTCCATGGCTTTCACACCTGGTAGTGCCAGTGCCTGGGGCTGCATCCACCACAAAGCCCTTTGGAGGGATGTCAAACACCCCTGGGTTTGTATTTCCCCCAGCCTCCCCACTGGGAGAAACCCCATCAGAACTCATCCAGCTTCCCGAAACTGGCATCTTTCTGCTCAGGAAAAAGCCTATTTAGTCTCCCAAATGCAACGTGGGGTATTTCCTCATCAGTTGTAAGAGTACAAACAGGGCATTGAAAATGAAACCCTTGAACCTGCCGAGCTTTGTTTCACCTCGAAGCTGCAGGTCTCCTCTTACCTTCTCTTTCCCCTCTGCCCTGTATCTCTTTCAGTACAACAAGAGCAACAGCGTTGAACGGCTACTACATCCCCAAGGATACCTGTGTGTTTGTCAACCAGTGGCAAGTGAATCACGACGAGTGAGTATTCCAAGGCAGGAAAAGGCAGATCGGGTCAAAAACTCCTGGGCATGGAGCTGCTGTGGGGTGACTTGGTCACTGGCTCAGCAGCTCCCCATCACATGGTGATGTCCTCAGTGCACCGGACATCCCATGTACGTGCAAGGGCTGGCAGCTTGGGCTGCTGAATAATCAGGAATCAGTAGATCCTCCTGCCAAGCAGCCCTTGTGATCCGGGGTGATGGCTTTGGATGTGCTCAGTGGGAACGTCCCGGTTCCCTCTTCCAGGGAGAAACATGTCCTGACGTGACTCCCGTTAAACTCCATCAGCTCCTGTCGTTAGTGCTGGTAATCAGCTTGGGTGGGTGGAAGGGGTCTGGACAGCAAAGCCCATGCTACCCTTCCACTGCTCTCCAGTAGAGACCCTCCTGGGCAGGGGAGCAAGGCTTGACACAAAAGGTAGTTCCTGCGTCAGAAGCTTGTACCCAAGTATCCCAGCAGCAGAAACATCACAGTATCCCTCCTGAGCACTGCAATGGGAACGCTGTCTTTGGGGATAGCGAGGATTCCCTGTGTCCAAGCAGAAAGCCTCAGCTAAGAACTGGAAAATCCCACCTAGCACCTCCCAGGAGCCGGGCTGGGATGGGTTGGGAAGGCTTCAAGGTGGGAAAACTCTCAGGTCTCCATCCTTGCTTTTTGTAAGAGCTGCTGGCCGATTTCCACGCTCCCCTTTTGGCTGAGGCTGCAGGATGGCTAGCTATTGCACGCTGAATTAAATCCACCTCCGGGATCTGCATTGGCAAACACAGGCTGAGTTTGGAATAGAGGTTTCAATAGCCTGAGCTGATGGGCTCTGTCATCTCGTTGGCATTTCAGACCAGGGACAGAGGTTGCCAAAGGGGGTTTGGGTGGCCAAGCCGTGCGTCCCTCCGGGTGAATCCAGCTCCCTGAGCTGGGTCTCCTTTCTGCCGCAGGAAGCTTTGGAAGGAGCCCTCCGCCTTCAAGCCCGAGCGGTTCCTCAACGCCGCGGGGACGGAGATCAACAGGACGGAGGGTGACAAAGTGATGACTTTCGGCCTGGGCAAGCGGCGCTGCCTCGGGGAGACCATCGGCCGCTGGGAAGTGTTCCTCTTCCTGGCCACGCTGCTGCAGCAGCTGGAGTTCAGCCTGCAGCCCGGCGCAGAGGTGGACATCACCCCGCAGTACGGGCTGACAATGAAGTACAAGAAGTGCAGCTGCTTCCAGATCAAGCAGCGCTTCCCCATGAAGAGCTCTCCATGAGCCGGCCCTGGGAGCTGCATGCTCAGCCTGCTTTTGCTAATGCTCTCTAGAAGCCAGCACAGCTCCTCACTGCGTTGCTTCACTGGGGGCTTGTTCATCTCATGTACATGCCGGTGGGGTGGGATAAAGCTGGTTTTGTAAGGCTCCCCATGCCCCCCCCCAGCAGGTTCCATTGCTGTTGCCTGCACAAAAGCTCGCCATGGGGAGATCCATTGGGATCACAGCCCTGGGGTGGGGAGGGAGGGAGGGAGGAAGAGGATGCTTTGGGCTGGGAGGAGCAGTGTGGGGTAGCGGTAGGGATGTCCTCACCCTGCCTCCTGCAACACCCCCTTCATCAACCGAATAGGAATCAAGCTGTGGGATCCTCCCTGGGAAACCTGGCTTTTCCCACAGCGGGAAGCCTCTCAAGCTCTGGCAGAGCTGTTTGTGAAGCCTTTGGCTCATTCTGCCGATGGGAACAGGCTCTTCCTGCGGCTCCAGCTGCCTCTGAAGGGCTCTTGAGGTGATGCAGGGGCCAGACCTGCACCAGCACTCACCTGCCCTCAGTGTAAATGCATTAAATGAACCCCCAAGTGTTTTACCCATCCTCGGAGACAGCCTGCGAGGAGGATGAATGTATATCCATAAGCAGTGCTGTTCACACACTGAGATGTTGGCTAAGTTCCTCCCAGGAAGCCTCCTGGAGAATATCCAAGGTCTGAGAATAAGGGACAAGAAGCAATAAGAGGCACATTCTGGCTTCCACATGATGTATTTGCTGCTTTTAATCAACTAATAGTTTGGGGGTCCTTTAGCAAGCAATAGATTCCCATATTCAGCCTAGTAAAGGTTTGAGGGCTGAATTCCCATGGCAAATTGAGCACAGATTCCTGCTGCTTCCTACCTGTGTGGAACACATCCGTACACTGGGATATAAACTGCTGTGATTCTAACCCAATAAATACTTACACTGAAGTGCTGGAAGTTTCTTGTTTGGTTCTTTCTGGTCTTACTCCTCTGGGAAAAGATTGAGGAAAAGCCCAAGATGATCTCTCCAAGCTGACTTGGATGTGTTGGATCAGGGTTTTCCTGCAGGGCCATGAGCTGGATATTCCTTTACCATCAGGGCTGTGACACCAGTGGTATTAGGGGAGTGTTTAGTCCTCATGGGAGCTGGCTCTGGTCCTCTCCCTGTGTGTATAGAGAAGCTAAAACCTCAACAGAGAGCTGATGCTGAGCTCTGACTGGTTCAGGATTTCACCCAAAATCAAGCATGGCCCTTTTATTCCTCCAAATAAATGAAGCAGGAGCTTGCAAACAGCACTTCAGGACCCTCAGGCAGGGGATCCACAGAGGGATGCTTCGGACCATCGCCTGCTCTGTGCTTCCCCAGCTCAGAGCATGGTTGTTTCTGAAGGCTTTGCATAGCATCCCTTAAAAGAAGGTGATAAACATTAAAATGCCATGTAATTAATAAAGGAATAGATGGAAAACTGGGGTCTGGGCACACCTGAAGGGCATCCCTCCAGGGTTTCCAGCTTGCTGGGGTAGGAAGCTCTTGCCCCACAGGTACGTTTCCTTGAGGCACAAATGCTTGGATCTGGGGTCTCATATAAGGAATCTTGGCAAACATGTGCTGAAAAGCGTGTCCCACCCCAGATCCCTGCCCTGGGATGCTCTGTGGTGGGAGCTGCTCTTGCCTCATCCAGGCAGCTATCAAAGTAAGAGCAGAAAGGTGACTACTTGACTCCATCCGTCACCTGGATGGGATGGACAACCACAGGGGTAGTTTGGATGTGGTGGCTGTGCCCTGGAAAGGCTGCTCTGGAGAAGAGGATCCTTCCTCCCACCCTAACCTGCCTCACCTTCATACTGTTGCTACCGACTGTGCTCCCAATGACTGTGTGTTCTAATAGCCTCCGTGCACAGCAGCTCAGGAAGGGATCCCACACCCTGCCTTCTCCTTCCTCCCAGTAATGAACAAAACAGGCTCAGGATTCCAGGGGGCGGGGGGGGGAAGCTGGGGGTAGTGGAGCTGAGAAGAAAGCAGGAGGTGAATGCACCTACCTTGGGTGGGGAGTCTGGGAAAGGGGATGGAGGGGTGATGGAGGTGGTGGAGGTATGAAGGAGGAGTGATGGAGGTATGTGACAGAGGTGGTGGAGGGGTGATGGAAGTATGATGGAGTGGTGTGGAGGCGACAGGGGGTGATGGAGGTGATTGAGGTGATGGAGGTGACAGAGGGGTGATGGAGGTGACCGAGGTGACAGGTGATGGAGGTGCGGCAGAGGCTATGGAAGTGTGGTGGAAGTATGATGGAGAGGTGATGGAGGTGATGGAGGTGACAGAGGAGTGATGGGGGTGCGGCAGAGGTGATGAAGGTGTGATGGAAGTATGATGAAGGGGTGATGGAGTTGATGGAGAGGTGGCAGAGGTGTGGCAGAGGTGAAGGGGGTGATGGAGGGTTGACGAAGGTGTGACAGGCAATGGAGGTGTGGTGGAAGTGTGATATGATGGAGGTGACAGAGGGGTGATGGAGGTGATGGAAGTATGATGGAGGTGGGGTGGGGTGATGGAAGGGATGGAGAGGTGATGGATGATGAAGGGGTAATGGAGGGGTGATGAAAGGATGATGGAGGGGTGATGAAAGGATTATGAAGGGGTGATGGAAGGGATGGAGAGGTGATGGATGATGAAGGGGTAATGGAGGGGTGATGAAAGGATGATGAAGTGGTGATGGAGGGGAGATGGAGGTGAGTGAGGGGTGATGGATGATGAAGAGGTGATGGAGGGGCAATGGAGGTGACATGGGTGATGGAGGTGATGGGGTTATGTGTGAATGAGGTGATGGAGGTGTGACAAGAGGACACTGGGCAGATACAGCAGAGAACGTGCTGCAGTGACACAGATGCGAGGGAGGTGAGGGCAGGATGGGAGTGATGGACCAAGTGTGCCGGCGGCGATAGGGGCTGACGGAGGGGTCACATCGGCGATGGGTGACGGAAGGGTCGCATCGGCAATGGGTGACGGAGGGGTCACATCAGAGATGGGGGGTGACGGAGGGGTCACAGCGGCTGTGCCCGCACCGGCGGGGATCAGGACCCGGCTCCACCACCGGCGCCACCATCACCGCTACCCCGGGTCCTCACTACGCATGCGCACACCGCACCCGGCGGCTCCCGCCACGCCGCGGGGGGGTGGTGGTGCTCGTGCGCATGCGCCGAGCTCCACTCGCACCCCTCCGCGCCTCTCTATGGTCGGCCGCCGGTGGCTGGAGCGCCGCTGGGAGGCGGGGCAGGAAGTGACGGAAGCACCGAGCGGCGGTGAGGGAAGAGGCCGCGCTGAGGCGGGAGCGGGCGGTGGCGCCAGGTGAGGCGGGGCCGGGACTCGGACCCCGGACCCCCGCTCCGCGCCCGGAGCCCGCCGGGGGTAGGCGGCACCCGCGGTGCGGCGCTGGGCCCGCCCGGGCCCCCCGGGATGCGCAGCCGCGGCGCCAGGCCCTTCCCGGGGCCGTGCTGGGGAGGCCGGGCCGGGAGCGGATGGGGAGGCCCTGCCGGGACTCCCAGTGTCAGCGGGGAGGCCTGGCCCGGGGCCGCGCGGGAGCAGGTTGGGGGGGCCCTTGTGCTGCCCCCCGGGGTGAGGGGGACTCCTTGTGCTTCTCCCCCCAGGGAGGGGTGTCCCGTGTGCCTCCCCTCGGCGGGGTCCCTGTGCTGTTCGCCCCGGGGACTGTGTTACCCTGTGCTGATCACGCTGACTGGGCCGGGGTATGAGCCCTACTGGGAGTGCGTGCCCTGTGCTGCCCATGTCCCGGGGACAGAGCTGGTAGATCACTGTGGCTGCTTTCTTAACTGAGTGAAGCCAGTTCGCTGTGAACTCATCTTTCAGCTGGGAGAGCATGTGTTGTGGCTCCTTATCAAGCAGCAGTGCCCGCTGTGCACAGCTATTGAATGGTTTGGGTTGGAAGGGACCTTAAGGCTCATCCAGCTCCAACCCCTGCCACGGGCAGGGACACCTTCCACTAGAGCAGCTTGCTTCAAGCCCCTGTGTCCAACCTGGCCTTGAACGGGGATGGAAGAAGGTGCTGAGTTATTGCTTACAGACTCTGTGTATTAAAGAGCTGTCTGCATGGCTGAGTAAGCCTTGACTTTCTTTCACAACTGGCAGTAATGTCAGGTGTATCAGTAATACCCACCCAAAGTGGTGCTGGGGAGAAGATCTCTGTGAGTTGTATGGCAAAACCTAATATATGACAGACTATGAGGTTTGGCTTTGCAGGTGTGTGTAACCACACAGATGTGCTGCTGTTCTCATGTGTGATGTTGTAAATAATTCACTGTGTGTATTGTTCAGCCCCTCTTCTAGGTGAATTTTGCACAAAGCAGTAGAAGTCTCCCTTGAGATGAGGAGGTTCCCTTGGTTTAGTTCGTGTTTGAATGCAAACATAGATTATCTTTTGCGTGGTGAACGGAGGCTCTTGTTTTTGAATAGCATCCTTGGAAGGTGGTGATGTGTGCGGAGCCCTTCCCCTTGTTTCCAGAAGGACATACAAAAAGCAGGAAAGGGAGTGAAGTTTTAGGTTTATTACAGATATTTAGTGGTACGTTTTCTGCCTTTTGAAAGTGCTTTTTATCAGCTCTCGCCTTGGCATCCAGACATTGTTATCATGGCTCAATATGAATCCAGAGAAGCAGGAAAGAGAGGAGGCTGGTGCTGACGGATTTCCACTTCAGTGACCAAATTTAGCTTCCTTTTGAAGCATCCCCTGTTTTCAGTCCCCTGGAAGCTGGGGGAAATGAGGAGTTTTCCTGGTAACATGCATCCTAGGTATTTCCAGGGTTATTTTTCCCTTCTTTTTCCAAGAAGCTCAGGATAGGAAGGGCTTGAAGAGAATACAAACAACACTCAGAATCAGGGTTTATATATTGCTGTTAATCTCTTCTTGGATTATCTCCTGGGCTCTCTGTGCTCCTTACAGTAAATATCTGTTGATTACAGCATGAAAGGCAAATATATACAGTGGTCA